ATCTCTTGAAATGAGGTCAAATCATTCAAGCATCACTGGCGTTAGCTAATCTGGGGTCTGCAGGTAGCGTTAGTAACGCCAAGGACGTGACGTAGTGAGTGGCTTTAACAACGCCACTGCCTAGTTCACACACAAAGACGTACGCTACGCCAGGCTTAAGCCAGCCTTACGCCGTGTGTGTGAACATAGCCTTAAACGTAGGCGTAGTAACATAAGGTCTAAAGTAACTCTGATGTAGATATTTTTCAGTTTGAGAGCTTATATCCTGCTGCATTAAGAACAATGCATTACTATATTAGTTTACATTATCAATTTGTTTGGGCTGTTTTGACCATGTAACAAAACATATATTTTATAGTTAGAATGTGACACAGCAGTACTGTTCACTTTTTTTATTCAACTCGGATAATCTCCATGGCACAATTTGCTTTGCTAAACTAAGTATGACTATAAGAGGTCGTTCAACATTATCAAAATTTTCACAAGTGTACAAACAGTACGCTAGGCGGAAGGGATATACAAATTTGTACACTTTTACATATGCATAAAAATATCGATTCAAAATAACATGCAATATGTAGATAATTGTAAAATTTTAATGTAACCATGGATATAATAATTCATTTTAAGTAACCAAGTACATTGCTTTAGTTGACTTCACAAAAAATGGAGAATGATTTTGCAAAATCAACATTTTTTTTATACACTTTCAAAGGAGAAGGAAGGGGTACCGAAAAAGAGTACTGTTTGTACCCTTGTGAAAATGTGAATAACCCCTAACTTATCCAAGACTGAATTAATGTTTTCCAGGTTGTTCCCACTGGATTTATATTGGTAAAACTTACAAGGACGCTTTGTTTAGTTCAACAGACAGATGCAATATAGGATCTGTGCTTTAAAGTCAATGTAAATCCAGTGTATTAAAAACGATTATAAAGCCAGCGTTTGCTGTAAATGGACCCAAGAAATCTATTAAAGGGATGTTTTGGTAGTTTAACCAAGCCAGTGTAATTCCAATATAAATCTGTTTTGACTATGTAACAAAACATTTTTAACACGGCGTGTGTGTAAGCATAAGAAAGGCAAATATGAACAAATTGAGTGCGCTACACAGCATGTGTTTGGACAATTTCTTTATCTGGAAAGGGTATATATAAATGCACTTTTTCAATCAATCATTTAGTAAACACTATTAAAAATACATTCTCTATCTATGCATAACATTGTAAAAATAAGGTATGTCCACTATCTAGGATATATTCCTTTAATGCCTTTGATACAGTAGGTATTAAACTTCAGTTCAGAAAATGGAACGTGCCAAAACCCTGAACCTGCTGTAAGCCCAGGCAGTGTTTCTTCTTGAAAGCCTGTGAAAGAATGAAAAAATGACAGAAAAAATTTTATACAATCAAATTAATTTTTATGTGTGTGAAAATTTGCTTTAAAGTTTTCAAACTAAGCGATCGGATTAGTGTAAGAAAAGTTATGCCACTGTAAGGAAACGACTCCTCATAGACCAGCTCAACTCCTGCTGAAAACACACTAATATCACTTATGTTTTGTAATTCAACCCAAAAGTGACGAGGTGAAATTAAATTGTATGCAATAGCTATATTTATAACCTTGTATAAACCGTTTCAAACTAATTTATGCGACCTCTAGTTACGGATTACAGTAAAAACAGTTGAAGTTTTTGAAGAAGTGCAAATGGTTAAGAGATAAGGTGATTTTCACTGCGGCACATTTGCAGTTAAGTGGACCAAATAAATTGATATGAAGTATATTATTTAGTTATTTTAACAATTATTGTATTTTGTAAGAATGTAAATTTTAGTTAATATTCATTAGTAACATTAATAGTTTAAAAAATACATTATAATAATATAATGAAGTTTTTTATTTATCAATGTTACCAGTTAATAAGTGATGCTTTAATACAATAGCATCATTCATAATGTTTGTAGTGGTTTGCTACAAATGCTAATAATAATGTTGGTACTATTGATCAAGAGAGAAAATCAACAAAATTGACTTTGGCTGTACACTTCACTCGTAAATCAGATGAATCTGAACACAATTACTGAATGAATATAATGCTAATCTTTTTTACTGGAAATCTTGAGATCAAGATGGCAACTTCTGTCATATTTCAACCACATGAAAGTACACCTTCAAAGAAATGAGCTTTTACGTAATGAACATTAACAGAAATATATACACAGGAAGGCCAAAGGAAATACCACCACTCTCCTTAGAGACCTGAAGAAACTTCAGTATTTGAGCTCATCATATTCAGTTAAATTGAGAAACAGTAAAGGCCTAGATAAACTAAAAGCAAGTAGCAATGAGTAAAAGAATTTGGAGAAACATTGTCTGAAGCAGAGATTTATAGAATGTTTTTGGCAGAAAAACATCACCTGAAAGTGTTAGTATACAATAAAAATGTAGAACTGGACTAACATATTAGATAAAATATATTCCACTAGCTTCACCAGCAGTGGATGCTGGCTTCATCAGGCTTTTTCAATGCAACAGGTAATTTAATTATATTTCAACTTTGATATGTTTAAAATTATGAAAAGTCAAATGCATGTACAGATAATTGAATACTAAAAATTTATTTTAGATTATAATCTAATAAGGGAATATAGTCAAAAACATTTAAGTATACTGTAGATATTACAAAGCTGACGTTTTTACCTTTCTGTTGTACACAGTGTGATTGGTCAGTCAGCTTGTGCATATGCATGAGGTACTGATCATTGACAGTTCCCAGTGCACAAGTGTACAACTTTGGATATGAATAATTCATTATTTAGTTATAACAGCGGAAGTAACCTACTTACAGTAAAAGCTGTTCACTGGTCAATCCACTCCCAATGGAATTAAAGACCGGAGATTCCGGCATTACAGCCTTTGGGATGTAGGCCTACTACCTACTTCTTGCTTTCCCATGTTTTTCATGAATTACGAAATGTGTTTAGTTTTAATTTGTTCGGATAACACGGATGAAATTGCCGGAATTGGCATGTTCTATATTTGGATAATTTTAAATTCTAACTGAAAACATGCAATCTCTCTGACTAGAGAAATATTAAATGGAATACTGGTACAATATATAGAAAGGGAATTGAGGAAGGCATGTACTCAAAAAGACGTAGATAGGCGATGCTAGAAAAGGTCAAAATAATAGCAAAACTGTATTCAAATGAAAACAGGAAGAAGCATTTTTTTTTTTCACAATATCAAATCAAATCAAATCGGTTTATTGGAAAACGCTTTTGTATCAAGCGGCACACATTAATTAATGGTGCATCCTTATACAAAACCAACAAAAATTAACCCCCCCCCCCCACAAAAGAAATCAAACAATCAACAACAACAACAATAGGAAAATTGAGTACATGTACAAACAAAATGGCCAAAGATAAGGCAAGAGGCAATACAGTTAAGGTACTGTATAACAAAATTAAATTGACATACTCAACATGAAATCAAAAAGAAGGAAAAAAAGCATAAAAGATACAGAAAAAACCGGACTGTTATACTATAGAGTAACGTGTGAATTCTCATATTTAACACATTGACTTAAAGTCTGACCGTAGTTATCTAGTTAATGTTATCTTTAAAATCCTGATAGTGAAAGAGACAGAGAGCTATTATAATGATGCATTTTGGCTTCACAGGGGTTGACAGAAAACTGTGTGTTTGAAAGTTAAACAAACATGATGGTGTATGAGTGACTAGTGAGATGGGGGTTCGCGGGCATTATTGGTGTTATATCTAACAGTGTAAGAGAGCAGACAGCCAAGCAGTATTAGAACAACACTGTTACCAGGTCATTGATATTATCATTGTGCCACATTGGCAGCGTGGCTTGCCTAGGGGTCTCCTTCCCCCTGCTATTGAAAATGTTCAAAGCAAAAAATAAAAATCATGCTCAAGTAGTTAAAGATTAGCTCATATCACCTTATTTTGCAAGCAAGTCCCTCCCTTTTGCAATCGAACCCTTCACTTTTGCATGCCATCATGTCCCCCCCCCCCATCCATTTCAAGATTACTAGATACACCACTGCTTATTATAACACATGTGACATTTGTACTAGGGACTAATGCATAGTTATACAGATTCCAAAATTAATATTTTCTTTCTCATCAGCGGAATTTAAAGTGCTGACTACACACCCTACCAACGATCCAATTATACCACATGACCTTAAAAGGTTATTTAAGAGAGGTGCGGAGAAAGCATTGGATAGCTTCCAGAGGTCCACAGAATACTTTAATGAGGAGAGAGACTACAAAATGTATTTGAAAGTGGTTCAGGCAAGTCAAAAATGTTTTAATTTTATCTTCATGACAAATTCCACAGTTGATGTTTCTCCTCACTCTGATGTCAGGATATTTTTGGCCTGTTTTCAAACATCTATGTTTATTGATATTAAACATCTAGAGGCCTCCATGATGTATTAGTTGTGTCACAGGGTCCCTATATGGCTGACCTTTCAAACAAATGGTCTTATTTAAGGATAAGTGTCATTTTCACGCAGCTACAACCAAGGAGGTAAAAAAATTATTATTATTTTTATACCTCCTTGCTACAACGAACTGAACAACTAAATCGAACTATACTTGCCCAGAACGCTTTATGTTGCTTTCAACTGTAGTATTAGCTGCAACTAGTTGCCATGCGATACTATTGCAATTGGCTACATTGTTAGTATTCACGACACCTGGATATTTGACAGGCTAAAGTGCACTAGCTACCACGGTCACATCACCAAATTCAAATTCTTTTCTTTATTTATTTAGCAACTAAGTAAACATAGTTGAATTTACAATAAAAAACTTCATACAGTATAAATATATATAGAATCAATTCAGAATACAAATTTAAAATGTTTAAAATACGATAAAATTAAAAAAAAAAAAAAAAAAAAATTTTAAAGGTTTACAGAACAAAAAAGAAACTGGCAGAAAAAAAAAAGTCACAGTCAAATTCACGAAAACATACAAGAGATTGCACAACCTGAACATAATAGAAATTCAATATAGCAATTTCATTAGCACTTGTTGTTATTATTATTATTATTATTATTATTATTATTATTACATTATTATTACATTATTATTATTATACAGTATATTGAAAAGCAACCAAAACCTATACCGACACCGTTACCAGGGGTCCCTGACAGGGAGCCAGAACCTCCAAGGCCACATCAATATCCATGGACCGGAAGGGGATTTTAACAAAACAGGAGGGGGGGGGGGCACCGATCGAATCGCCATTCATGGGATAATCCATAGTTGATGATAAAATTAGCAGTTCTGTTTGTGCGAGTGAATGGTGTGGAGAATGATTTGCTATGTCTGAGGTTGTATTTATGTTGAACTGGTGGAGGAAGGAGGTGATTCAGCCGGTGCTCCCCAGATTTTAGTTTTGAGAAGTATCTCCTGCTCATCCCCATCAATCGGTCCGAGAGACGTTGCAGACCAAGGATGTCTGTCTCTTATGAGAGGGCAAGCATACTCAATTATAGATCGGATAACTGAACAATAAAAATATTTTAGAGACTGAGGGTCCAGGCCAGCTCTGCAGAGTTGTTTCAAGAAATAGATCCTCATATTACACTTTTTAACAAATTTTAATCACTTTGCATTTGCTTCGTATAAATAGATCTTGATGAGCAACTAAGTGGAACCAAGTAGAATTTTCGATTGCTAATGTCACCGCAAATCACATTTGTCGAGTAGGCGTAGGGTTCCTTGTTTATGTCCCAGTGTATGTTGATTGTTATTATTTAAGTAAGTGAGTGAAAACCAAAAAAGGTCAACCTATAATAATAATAATTTCTAAAAAAAAGTGTATTTTTATTTTGAAATGCCACTGGATTAAATTAGCGTAGTGCAAACTAAAAATAGGTGTAGTTGTTTTATGCAAAATTTTTAATTGATTTTTTCAAATGATTCTTGTCACTCCACAATAACTCTGAAAATTCCTCCTACATCCGGATGTGGAACCTATTAGACCTATTCCTTGATAAAATGAAAACACACCTATTATCTGAGCACTTAAATTTCTCTTTAAAGTAACCTCAGATTATCAAATCTATTTTATAGATTGACCTTACGTATTATGGTTTTGCACTTTCCAAAGCTGACTAATGATTTACCTTCCTTTCAAATATTTATATGATAGACAGAACCTCGCCACCACAGTCTAATCAAATCAAAATGATGGTAGGCAAAATCCTTTATGAGTTTGAAACATTGCAATGATAACAGAATCTCTAGTTGGAAAGGATAATAATGAGATGACATAAAGAGTGTAGTATGTATAAAAATATTATTATTAATTGTGCTTTTATAGCGCACACCACTGGAGCCTCTATGCGCTTTCTAGAAGATTATATCTAGTGCCAGATAGTCCATCAGTGGGTCGAATATTATTCGCACTCGCATCTCAAGATGCAGTTAGTTGTCACTATATCAACATACTTGAAACCTTATATGTCTCAAGAGATTTCATATTACATCAGTCTTATTAACTGGCAGAGGAAGAATCTGTCACACATCCTGGACAATATTTTATATATCATTCTGATCCACAGGGCTTAGGAATTGTCAAACCGGTGCCAGCAATAACATTTCATAATTTCCCATAGATTTTGTAATTGTTTCACAGAACATGCTTACAAAATTTAGATATAATTTTGTCAACCTTGTCAAGTCATTTGACATGGGAACAAACATTCTAATTATTGTTTTTGAAATGTTTGAACAGCAGTGCATAGTTTTCACGTGCTATTACGTGCAGGATGTTAAGAGAATTATTTCTTCTGCTACCTGCTAAACTTCAAGTGACTTCAGTTAAAAAAAAAAAAAAAACCTTGTGCCCTCATTAAGTGCACCAACTTTACAACTGGGTTAGGATCTTAATCTAATCATCATGGGGCATTATGTGCAGGTGGAACCCTTTAGTTTACTGATTGCTGTGAAGCAGCCAATTCATATTCTTGACAGCAATTTGACCTCTGAAAGGTCATTGTTTGTCAAAAAACAAGGGCCTAAGACGACTGAAAAGCAGAGTTTCCTTCTTCCGTTTTGCCGGGTAAAATCAATTACTTTAGGCGACGTTTGTAGACTAACCTACATGTACCAACGTCCAAATGTCGCGCTAGCCTTATCCTACTCTAGGCCTAGACTAGCTAGGATGGTATAGGCCTAGCCTTAAAGGGACGAAGGTCCCAATGAAAAACAACGTCGCTCCTTGATAGCTAACATTGTCTATTTAACATCACAATAATTCATTATTAGACCTACAGCTGTCTTTTTTTAATTGTACTCCACAAATCTCAGCTGATACCTCGCACAACTCGTTAATGTCTCGTATCTATTGTTGTGACGTCATGGCTTGCTGGCTCACACTTGCGATGTCTCGCACTTGTGATCAAATAACACGCTGGCTCGCACTTTGGCAACATTCTTTGGCAGTCAACTCGCCCCTAGAAAACCCGCCCTTGGAAACTTGCCCCATAAAAAAAAATACACTTCCTAGACCATGCTCTCTTCAAAATAAAAATTGTAACCTTTGGTAATCAACTACAT